GAGCCGTGATCACCCCCCAGCAGCCTACAGAAAACCTCGAAGAACAATCGTATGCTTTTAGAAACGAGGTAGAGGCTTTGGTATAAGAGAAAAGAGTCGCCAAAAATGTCGTTCGTATACTACGAATAAAATTGACGTGAAGCCATGAAACCGAGCAATATTTTAGTTGATCTCTTTCTAAGAGTTGGCGTTGCAATATGTTAGATAAGGATAAATGAATATGTTTGAGCGAGACACACGATATATGATAAGTATAAGAAATGAATGAAAGATGTCACTATTATCGAATTTGGAATTTAAAAAAGTCTGTACTATCGACCTTGATTAAGTTTGACCGTCAGTCCAGCATCCCCCTTAAGCTCTTGAAATTACAATAAAAAATATCGGTTATTGTTTCAATAGTCGTGTATTAAGGCCCAGTTTCACAACTGACGGTTAACTCTTAACTGAAGTTCAACTTATTCATTATCTCTTTTCAATTCTAGAATTGGAAAAAGACGACAAATAAGTTGAACCTCGGTTAAGAGTTAACTGTGAGTTGTGAAACTGGGCCTAAGGGGCTTCTAAAGTGCTGAATGGGTAATTTCAGCGAAATCGGTTGAGAATTGATCGAGAAATTTCTGATCCATTTCGGAAGCTGATTTCAGCCTAAGTCACTTCAACGTTAAATAATAAATAAAATTGTTATTTCTGACCGTCTTAATTACGGATTAAAATTTTACATATTTCGTATTTAAATTTTCGCGCGCGCGCGATGTATGTATGTACGATAATTCTGGATTAGGTACGATAATTTTACGATCGGCTACTGCTTCTAGGTTACCAACACTGGGAGTACTGGGACCGGCAGAGTTGTTTACTGCGATATTTCGAAAACACGAGGTTTCTGGAGATTGAAGGGAACATATGATGCAACGTTGGTCGTGGAATCAGTCATAAGCACAGTCGTTTAATTCGTTCACAGATTCTCGACATTCCTTGGAAGATCTCAAGCATAGACGTCATAAAATTTCGACAACTCTGACAGTCTGACGGACACGTGCGAAGCTTATTTTATTTTTACGCTACAAAAACTGCGTGACAGAACGCGGTGCGACGTCGTCAGGTACGCTAATGTTCCTAGAGAAACTCTAACGCAAACTCAAGATGCTACCCATTCGACATGTTCTACGTCTTTGTGCACGTATAGTTTGCACTCGGCATGTAGCATATTGTCATGCTCCAGTTTTACGCGAACCGAGCAGCATTGGAACATTCCATCAAGTGCGATTTACTCACGAGGACAGTGGCACTCGCATAGAATTAGGCAAATTAAAGGGGAAGCTGAAGCTAATGTTTACATGCAAGAAATGCCAAACGAGAACAAGCAAGCTGATATCGAAGCTGGCTTATAATAAAGGAGTAGTAATAGTGAGATGCGAAGGTTGCAAGAACAATCATCTTATTGCCGATAATTTAGGATGGTTCTCAGAAATCAGTACAAGAACAAACATCGAAAGAATCATGGAACTGAAAGGGGAGACTGTGCGAAAGGTAATGAATGATGAGGATGGCTATTACGAAGCTGTTTTGAAGGAGAAGTTCAAGTCACAGAATGAGGATACTGATGAAATAAAATCAGACAACGAATGTTCTGATAAAATTAAAATAATTGACAAATCACAGGGAAGTTAAAATTCCTTTTGAATGCTAGCCCTTGTCCTACAAACAAAAGTAGAATGTAAGTGTAGGCAAGTGCAAAATGTTCTGTTATAAATTTATTGCGTAATTGGTTTGTTTATAATCTGTAACATTAATAAATACAGCCACAAAACGTATGCAAGTTTTATAAATGCAGAATACGCTGAAAAACCATATTTATGTTTAGGTGAATTATAGTCGTGCTGGTTGGAACATCATTTTAAAACGACAAAATTCATGTGTAGATTCAGGGCCCGTTCCGTTTCACGCATGATGTGCATAATGCATCATTTATTTAACCTTATTTAACATTCGGTGAATAACAAGGATAAAAGATGCATCATGCGCATCATGTGTGAAACAGAACGCAGCCTCAATTTACTGTTTTTTTTTTACATTATTGGTATCTGAAAAACAAAAGAAGTAGAAGATTACACATGTAAGAATTAACCTTACGCATGTATATAGTTTTTTAAATATACTTATATCTGCTAGAAATAGTCTAACAATACTTGTTCTAAAAAATAATTTTTATCTTACATGTCTGTTCAATATATTTTAGAATTTATCGATTGGCGCAATTCTTATGAATAATTGTCTATTTATATATATTAATCGATATTTCAATCAATGGTAGACCATTTGTTTGGCACAAAGGACATATTATTACAAATGGCTTTTCAACAAATTCTTAAAATCATTATGGTACTTTATACAATTTTGTAAAAAGACTCTACAAATAGAAAAAAATATATAAAAGTAGGTATTTATTCTTATTTATACCATTATTGCATATGATTTATAGTCATTAATTTAAGCATAATGAACAATAGTGATTTCTTATGAATGAATAAGCCCATCTGCCTCATAGATATATATTTGTAATGTACATAATAAAATTTTTTTGTACTTTTAATATTTTGGATCTTTCAAATCCAATATGATTTTCATAGGATTAATATCTACATTAAGGCACATGATCGATTCGATTGCTGATGAAAGCACTAATATTCATAATGCATATACAAAATATATATATATATAAAATTGCGGCAGCATATAATATTAAATATCTATAAGTTTATCCAATTGTGATGATCTGTTAATTATCTCTTTATGAAAGCATTTGTATCAAATTATGTACATATTTATATATCAATAGTTTTGCACTATTTAAATGAATCATCAAATTTATAACATGCCTGTAGTAGAAAATAAATGTATTTTTGAATTTAGTAATAATAAATTTCTAAGTACACCAATACATATACTCAATATCAAAAGATTTTAACGCGCTTGCATGTTTACGATTTAGTATCATTTTGGCATCAATTAAAACATTTTTGTTTCTATAAGGCACTATACAAGTATCTTGATAAATCAGTCGAATGCAGTTAGATAAAATATTAATCACTTTGAGCTTTCCTAATCAACACTAGAATATATTTCATACGAAGGCACAAATGTTTATGGAATTTTTGAACGTTTATACTTTCTTAGACATCATATCTATAATAGCAATTAAGACTAGTCTCTAAAAATAATAAAAAAGAATAAAAATATAGGATAAATGTGACAATGCGAAAATAATGAAATTATATCATTTTGCAACGCGTGTCAATCATTCTATAAAGCAAAAGAAATACTTTTATTCTCACCACACGCGGTGTAGACTAGCATATTCTTCATATCCTTACAAATAATTACAAAAAGATAAGAATTTTGTAGAAACGAATTTTTGTAGCATGGTTGTCGTACTTTGAAAGGATACTCGAATGTATAGGTATTTTACACCCTTTTTGGTTTTGATACAATTGCATATTCGCTGTTGTTGAAAACTTTATGCTGTGGACTACCCGCAGTATTACCCATAGAAGTTGTATCGGAAAGATCCGGTTTTTTCCGGATAATTCCATAACCGAGATGGCTGTCGTCGGCTAGCCTGATAGCGGACATGTCTTCGACAAGCTCGTAATTAGACCACGATGGATTAACAAGATTAGAACTTTCCCCGTGGGAGACGTTGGAATGTATGCTTTGCGAGGAATTCGTATACTTGTACGTAGACTTTTGATTAAGTTTCGTCGCGGATCCAAAGTGTTCTAATTTATCGTAATCCGACTCGTCTGTCTTGGCGACACTTTGTATCGCCGATGGCGTGACAATTGCGTTATCGCCGCATTTACTTTTGCACGAATTTTGGAATGCATCGTGATTCCGTATCGGCATCATAATTTCATACTGCAAATCATCGTTATCGTTCTCCTTATCTCTCTCGCTAGGTAGACTCGAGTTTACTCTTTCTGTATGATGTACGCTATCGATACCGTGCGTCTTCCAAGCGTCATTCCTAATTTCCACTAAATCGTACGAGTGTTTTTCCTCGTTCTCGCGCATAACACTGCCGATACTTTTATGAGATAATTCCGGGGAATTACCTTGGCTTATAGTTCTATATTCTCCGCATGTAGGCAAATCTAGGAATTCCGTCGAGTCGAGACATTTTTTCTCGAGCAGATTAGGGAAGACGTATTTTCGTGGTGGTTTGGCGGGTTTGAACTTATTTATCGATCTGCTTGACGAGATTGTAGAATCCATACTCGATGACGAAGTCAACGGCTTCTGAGAATTTTGCGTAGAAAAATCTATATCAATCAAATTGCTAGAATTGTTTGAAGAGGGTGGTAAAGCCGCTCTAGAGCCAGGCTCCATAGATAAGGCTGCCTGGAATTGGGTGTCGTTGCATTCTATGTTTGGATTACTTTCTTCGTCCAACAGTTTCTTCATGGACTTCATTTTGGCATACATGCATCGGAAGATCTCCTGTTGGCTACCATGCTCCAGGCGAAAGGATCCCTCGCCGGACTCGCATTTTCTCCCGGCCTCGAAGATAAACTTTCCATCTCTATATCCGTATCTCCTGATATACCTGTATGGCCATGTGAATAGAACCATATCACCGTCCATCAGCTTCATGTCCACGGCGGCAACAACCAAAGTATAGTTTCTTGCTTCCAATCCACACCGCTTAGATGCATCCGTTTCTACAACTTTCACGGAAAATACACCTTCTCCACTAGTACAATACAGATCGTTATTTTCTTCTATTTGATTCGATACACTGTCCTTGAATGCGACTAATTGGAACGCCGTGATCCAGTGAGTCATCTCAATTTCCGAGTAACAGCCAAAATAGTGTATTCCTGATTTAGTCACTACCTATGAAATGGACACGTGAAAAACTATCATTTTAGAGACAGTTAACAGTGAAAAATTGGTTTAGATAAAGAAGCGACATAGAAACGAATTCGAGGGCAGAATAAATACGTACGGTAAAGACATGCGACTGATTGCTGGGTGCAATTTTTATACAGGCATCCAGCGTGATGATGCGTGGAGAATGGGACTGCATTATCGCTTCTTCCTGATTGTCATAGATCTCGACGCGTTTGATCCCATAGTTACTTGTTCTGAAAAGCTGACAGAATCTCTTGTGCCAGGTTTTCTGAAACAAATGAACACTTATGTTTACTTGAAATTTTCCTGTTATATAAATATATATAGAATAAACATATTTTATCGGCTCTCTAAATTCTTTAAAATGGAATTTTCACTCTAAAAAAATGAAAATTAAGCCAGTCTTGAAAAAGAGTAGCTCAATCTTCAATCTTTAAAAGAGATTTCATTTTTCAGAGTAAGATTCACTCTAAAAGTTTTGTACTCTTTTCTATCAATATAGATTAACTTTAATCTGGGTTTAATTTGCTTTTTATCTCTCTCTAAAGTTAAAAAAAATTAGAAAAGGATAAAGAATAAATTGAGAACCGAGATTAAAGTTAATTAAGTACATTGACAGAAATGGGCATTAGAGAGAATATTGAAGAAGCTGAGGAGGGCTAAACCGAATAATTACCGAGTTAAATAATGCAAGAGCGACAGAATGTAAAATGCAATCGTTCCTGCATATTTTAAATGACCGTTTAAAGGGTGTGTTGGCATGTGGCGTGTGTTGTGTACCTGTTGCAGGTCAAGTAGCGGAAGAGGAGTGTGAAAAAAAGGGAAGAGAGGAACAGAGCCGTTTACGGATGATGCGTCGTGCGCGATATCGCGATATCGCGTCAACGGGGTGCATCCCACGGAATTTATCTCTGTATACCAACCTTGAGCTGGCCTAGCATTCCTTGCGGCGGTAGCAGCAGTATCCCCTGCATGAGAGGCTCCTCGGGCTCCATCGCTGGCGATCGAACATCAGCACGGATCGGCGCGATGATGGGTCCCCTTCTCGTGACTCGTGGTCGCGGGCGAAAACCCTTTGTTCCGTCCCCGTCCGCTGGGAAAATCGTTTACGACGGAAAAGGGGGAAAAGAGACCCGAACAAGCGACTTTACTTCCACTTTCACTCCGGCCTTTCCGTCTCTCGAGCTTGTCGTTCTAGCTCTCGGATACTTCCCCCGGGTTCGCGGTCCTCTCGCCTCTTCGCGCGATATCTGACAGCTACGGCACGTCGAGATTCAGCCCATGGTAACGCAGGACGCTTGACATTTCATGCCAGGCCGGGGAGGGAGAGGGGGAGGGAGGGAGGGAGGGAGGGAGAGAGAGAGAGAGAGAAAAGAGATATAACACTTCGCCAACGTGTGACTATCGCGAACGCGACTGACGCGAACGAGAGAATCGTCAAACGAGTCAGTATTCAGGGCCAGTACTCTGTAATACTCCGTATGCCGATTGCCGCGCTGTATACGTATGACGCGTATGACGTTCCGCGTAAGCGCACAGTGCGACACATGCGCTACGCACCGTGCCGTACGCGTAGCGTACTCGAGCGTACTCCCCAAACCGAGCACCCAATTCGTCGCGGCGGACAGGGCGGACTCAGGACTCTCAGCTCTCAGCTCTCAGGAGTCTCGGGACTGCGGCCAGTCAGTGCGGCCTGCACCCAGCACCGGACACGTCCACGGGTACGAGATTGACCGTCCGCACTGCGTGCACGGTGCACGGTGCACCAATGCGCGGATAGCACACCGTGACCGGGCTGCACGCGCGCACGCACGATGTCGTTCGAATCGCTGTCGATGCTGTCGGCTGTCCTCCAACTCCTCAGCTCGGCCGGCAGTGTATTCCGCACTCCGCGCGCAAAGTATTTGCAATAAATTAATAATCAAAATTAATTTTTCGAGATTTTACCAACAAGTAATTATCTAATAAGGGCGCGAGTGAGAGTACAAAATTCTGCGTGGTTGAGTCAAGAATTAGATTATATTTGTTATCAAGTAATTATTTAATATAAGGACGAGAGAGAGAGAGAGAGAGAGAGAGAGAGAGAGAGAGAGAGAGTACAAAATTCGTAGGTAACAAATATTTAATATTTGTTATGATGTGTGTGTGTGTGTACTAAATATTTTTTACGTTAGTCTATTAAGTATACTTCTCTCTCTCTCTAAATTAAAATATAAAATTAAATTTTTATATTTTTCTACTGA